GTATGAGATTTAGTTTTCTATGATATACAGGGTGTGAAAAAATTTTCTAAAATTTGACGGGCAGTTTATTTGTAAAAACGTCTTTAATTTGTGTTCAAAATTAAAGACTTCAATTAATAACAAAGAAAAACAATTTGTGTTGGTAAAATATTAATTGCAGTTACTTATTACAACCCCTTGTATTGATGCCATGCTCTGCAGGCTGCAAATTCATTGCAATACAACTATACTTACATTAATAAAAAAAGATATATCATAAACCTAAAAAAATAAATTTGGTGAAGATATGTCTATCGGGCAATACGAAAAATAAGTAATCAAACTATAGATTGGGAGTCAGGAATGTATCCATGCCCTCGAGATCTCTGACCAGAGAATAGTAATAGTTTAGATAGTTTACCAAACTTCTAAATATTGCCTCACCTCGAGGTTTGCTAATTAAGGCACGATCGTTAGCCTGAGATTCGATCCCTCTATAAACCATAACGTCTAGCTCATATTGATTTAATGGTTCCCATTCTTCTTGTTCAAATACTTAAATTGACACAATTTAAGTTAGCTATTAGTTAATACTCTGTGAGTATAATTATAGTTAATTCGTGTAAACAGTGTAGCTATGTCCTGTCAAGATTATGTCTTGACAGGAAATGTTAACTTTACTATAATAAAGCTCTTATTAATATAATGTTTGATAAAGAGTAGTATGTCTGACAAGTTGTTTCTTCTTTATACAGGGCGATCCGAATTGTATTCTGGTAACTTCGGCAATATCTTCTGCAGGTAAAAATAAGTAAAAAGTTTCGTATAAATATATGTCATATAATGCTTAGTTTCGGAGATACAGGGTGTAGAAGTATTTAATATTTTTTCCAAATAATTTTTGAAGTAACGTCAATATTTGGATGAAAATTAGTGCCCGGGGATTTTTGACATGAAAAATTTGATTGTGATGTCAATATAATGCCTATATGTACAGGGCGCCACCTACATACATGAGTTTTAACTGTTTTGAAGAGTAATAACTTTTCGTCCGTACCTGTATAAAAATACTGAGAGAAAAAAATATACATTTCCGTAATTTTTTACGTAAAAAACGTCTGGTAAAAATAGCTACGAACAACCGTTTTCAAGATATTTAGAATGGAAGCAAAAAATAACTGTTGAGTAGATATTTGACCGAAATGATAAATTTGGGATATTTTATTTATTTAAATTAATCATAAATTTTTCTTCGAAAAAACGAAGATAAAACAGTTTCTGTTGCACTTTTGACATAAAATCATTTCAAATTTATAATTTTAGTCTAATAACTATATGTATGTATAGTCAGGTGCCCGGTGGTGTAGAGGTACAGAGGTACAAATGGTAAAAAAATAGGGGTTGCCATTTAAAATTTTAGGGGTAGGTGCCCTGGGGGTCAAAGGGTTGAAAGTAACACGACAACAAATGCCTCAAAAATTGTCCCCCTTGATATTTAAATTGACGTATTTCGCCAAATTTTCATACTACCATCGGTAGAGGTAATATTAAATACTGTTCGTTTTCAAATTGTCACCCTGTATATAATTAGAAATCTGTACTTTAATCTGTCTTTTGCGCCATCTAGCGATCCGGAAGACACTAAATTTGAAGTTTTATAAAATTACTTTTGATTATTTAAGGCCTGATTAGGCGGTTCTAAGTTAGCTACGGCAGCTATTATTTATAAATTTCTAGATTTTTTCGATGTATGTAGTTGTATTGTAGGTAGGCGTTCTTTTAGTTCACTTATATAATTGCGTAATTTTCAGTCTCTTTTACGTTGTCTATATAATTATAGGTCTATTCACTTCTCTATAATTAACCCGACATTATCTATTTTAGGATGTTAAAATCTCAGAATATAAATAGGAGGTCATCCTTCACGTTGATATTTTTGTATCTTTATATTCTTGGACCGAATGGTTTTGATAATCAATACTTTTATTTATACTTATTATTACATTCATTATTAATTGGTTCTTATATAGAATATACCGGGTGCGTCTCAAAAGTGGCTCACCCTTATAACTTTTTTATTTTTTTCAGAAAAAAAAACCAGATTTGGTTTATTAGTATATGATATAAATTAGGATTGATTGACGTATTCAGTTAATTATGTGATTGTGTCATTAAAAAAAGTTATATGGGTGAACCACTTTTGAGATGCACCCGGTATATAATTATATAGGGTTATACTAACAATATTTACTTTCATAGATACTTTTTTAGATTGAATTTGTGTCAAGTGGTGTGGGTAACATTTCCATATATATTTTTTTTTCAGATTTACGAATTTTAAAAGTATGAAACTATTTGGAAAAACCGATATTTCTCTTTGATATAAAATTTGAGTACGATAACTTTATAACGGATCCAATCGTGTTAATTGATGCTTTGAAAACGATTGAATTGCAATAGTTGATTTTTAAATTTATAAAGGTAAAAAATATTGAAAATATCTGTGATCTATTTTGATACTAAACCTTTTTAAATGTTATTTGGTTCTACTGTCATATAACTGCTCTGTCATTTGAAAATTTATCAGCTTTTAAAAAATGAAATAAACAATCCAGATTCGTATTTAAAAAGATAAAGTTTCTGATGGTATCTCAAAACCCAAAATGTTAGATTTGAAACACATACCAAACTTTGGTGTTTATCGAGAGAGAGAGAGAGAGAGAGAGAGAGATCATCATGCTTTGGAATTAAATAATACAATAGAAAATTTCATTAATGACTTATATTAAATTAACAATTTAAACAATTAATGCAATTGGCTGTGACAGTCTTGTCACACTTCTGCTTCGGTTGGTTGGGAGAAAGGCCTCACCCTCTTCGCTGCACTCGCCCGCTGGTGGGTAGCGTGGTTGTCCGGCTAACGTTGGAGAGCTTGTGAGACTCCACCAGTCTCAGTACGTGAGCTACTTATGGGGACGGTCAATTCTCGTATCTTCATAGAAGATAATAAACAGCAGTATTCTACTCAACACAATTAATAAGTACCCAGTTTTGTGGTGGTGTTCAAAAATCGCTAAGTAGACTGTCTCTTCGTTGCCAATAGCTTGTACAATAATAATATTTATTGTACAATATATTTATGGAATTCTACAATATCCAAATGAAGTTAACTACGTAACTAATTATAATTAAAATGAAAGTTAACACTAGCATTAAAATTAAAATTGATAAAATTCTGAAATTAGGCTATGACAGTTTAAATTAAGTTATAATTGAAAAGTTTGTCCAAATTATTTAAAGAATATAGAGAATATAAATATAGTATTATAAAAAAATATAAAAGAAAAATATTTTGCTCTCTCTCTCTCTAGAAAATTCCAGACCACCACAATTGCTTCGGTAAGACTTGAAAAAAATTGCAGTTTTGTTGCAGTAAATTATTTGATTTAATTTGTAGACACGTGTAAAAAGAATAAAAAAATATGTAAGATAAAAAAACTAGAAATATATGAAAATTTAAATTAGAACAAAAGTTAATACTAAAATGCGATATTAAAAGATAAATTAAAAAAAAAACAGATAGAAAGATAAAGGTAAATAGAAAGATAGAGATAAGATACGATAAACGATAAATGCGGCAATTCGAGAGATAAAAACTAAAAGAAAAGATGTCACTCCAGGAACAAAGATAATGCATCCGCCAAATAAGATAAAGATAAGGTAAGGTAAATTTAGCAGATACGGGGTAAAGATACGTTTCCTAGAGTAACCCAAATACAACAAAAAAAAACAAAAATCTATCTGTCGAATGGCCTGCCAGTAGACACCACCACTACAGGGTCCAGATAAAATAAGAGTTGCCTTCTGGCAAGCAAGGATTCGTTAAAGGTGACATAAGTCGTATAATAAAAATATTATAAAAAATCCTTACTTACCAGAGTCCCTCCTGGTTCGTCTCTGAGAGTACTCCTGCAGTGGCTGGTTCAATTCATGACCCCTGAGATTGCTAAATCGAACACCTTTGCGGGTTCCTGTTCATCAGCTTGCGTTTCAGTACATAAGGAAAAAAGATAAAATAATAATTAGTACTAGATAAAAGTTAAAGGATTAGAAAATTGAAAAAAAAACTACTAAAAAAAGAAATTATGATAAAAAAATGAATTGTGAGATAAAAAGGTAAAATATAAAAAGAAATTTAAAGTTACAAGATATTTAAATAATTAAATCAAAATATTAAGTCAAATAACTACATTAGATGGTAAGAAATGTTTTAAAAATAAAACCAATAAATAAATTCCAAGCCCTACCTCGTGCCGGTGTCTGCAACAAAAAACGCTAGATGTTAATTCAAAGAAGATCGAGATGAGAGAGAGATATTTTCGGCAAAACAGTTTCTTTTATAGAATACTCCCATTCATTTAGACATGCGTTAAGTACCAAATGTCAATATAAAAATTCTATAATTAATAGTAAAAATAATACGTACGACAAAATTTCTTACATACCTTCAAAAAAATGTGTGTAACAATTGCATCTTAATTATCAAACCAAACCAAAAACAAAATATTACGCATAAACCTTCGTCTTCAATAAAAATAACAAATTATAAACGATAACCGAGAGGCAACCAGAAAATAAATAAAATATTTCAACAATTTATACTAACAACCATCGCTAGTGATGTGTACCACTATGGAGGTTCCGCAAAAAATCGATAATATATAAAAACGTATCAACGATATAAAGGAAAGAATAGGTATGTAACGAAAATATTTTCGTTAAAACCTTTCCTGATTTGTAACACAGACTATATTTAAATTTGCAATTTTTAAGTATGCACGATATAGTAGCGTAGATAATTTTAATTTTACGGGATCGTAAGTCAATTAAACTTAAAGGGCTAAAACTTATTGAAATCCTGAAGAAACTACAGCCAGACAATAAAACCAAAGTTTATAGAGTATATATTCTGTGATAAGAGGCCCTTGATAAATTAATTAAAATTAAATTGTTTGTTTCAGATGTACCAAAAGGCCACATTAGCCAGCTGGAAGTTGTAGGTTCTGAAATATCGACCCTTGAATCGGACAGTTTGGTTGGCTGCCAACTTCAAGCTTTTGTATTCAGTAATAATTACCTTCAGCATATATCAGAGAAGGCTTTTAGGTAAGACACATTAGACTAATTTCACGAGTAAACATATTTCTTAAAGCGGGTTATACACTTTAATATTTTTTAAGTACAGTATGATCGAAAAAGAGATTATATAATATTATTATTATTCAATACCAATTAAACTTTTAGTTACGTAATCGAGGGCGCGATTTTTAAATTCATTGTTGCCAACCATTCGGCGCCGGCCTGACTAACTGGAATTTAAATTTCCCGCTGGTGATTCAGGTGGTAGCTCTGCTATAAAAAATGTCAAGATGCCACATTTTATTATTTATTTCCTGACATTGTCATTCCTTTTGACACTTTGGTTTTGTATTACGAGTTTTTGGTTTAAATGAATCGTGTTGTGAAAGTTTAAGCTTAAATTTTTTTACTAGCAGACCTTGCAGTCGAACATTGTTCTTTTAAGAACCCCTTAAAAACCCCTCGAAACTTTATTAGAATATATTGAACGGGAAAGCGGTAGTAATGGATCTTTATGTCTTTTAAGTGCTGCTAAGAAGGTGAGTTTTGTTGATGTAAATAGTAACTGTTTATATATTTATAATTAATTTATTTTTCCAAAAGAAGAAAATACTCAAAGTATTTTCAATTTTTTTTTAATTATATTTGCAACAACTTTTAAACTGCAACTTTTGGATTTATAAACCAGGCCTTTTTTGGAAATAATGGACGTTTTTTTTTAATTTATTCTTGTCTCCTAAAATACTTCGATTAAAAGATGTAATGGTTGGCAACGCTGTGCCGGTTAATCTTATTGTTACTGTCAATGTTTTAAAATATAGGATTTACCAAAAGCAAGTGATAGTAAAAACCAACCAACCCCACCAAATAACCACCTAACCAATACATTAACACCCCCCAAATAACCAGACTAACCAATGCATTAACACCCTCCAAATAACCAGGCTAACCAATGCATTAACACCCTCCAAATAACCAGGCTAACCTAGTTAGTTAATGCTTTTGATAAATCTTAGGTTTAGCGCGCTTATCCTAGGTTTTGCGTGAGTAAAGTAACCTTCCAATTTTTCACTTGACTTTTTTCTTATAATATTTAAAGCAGGGTTGGAATGATTTAAATCAAATAAGTGATATTTTTAATTTTAATCATGTGATTTAAATAAAAAAAAATAATTTTATTGAAACTTTATTATAAATCAAAAAATAATTGTAAAAGTTATAAAAATGTGTCCTAGAAAACTGTAAAAAATATTTCTATAACAGATATAACAGATAATAAATCGAAAAATAATTGTAAATGATATAAAACTATATAAAAATATCTATTCATCAATTTAATTGTTGGACCGATTTTTGAATTAATTTCGTGCGAATCCATTAGACCGCTAAACGCAGGGATTTATTTTAAAAGTGACAAAAATTCGCTGTTCGAATACATATTATTCGCCAAGTCTAGTGCAGAACTAGAGAACTTCATTCCCGAGAATCTATAATGGTTGTCAGAAAATATGTTGTTTTATATTTAATTTGAAAGGGTTGTATGTTTCCAAATTCCTATTGACATTTTGATCTGCAGTAAGCACTTTGACATTAGATAGATAATACGTACTAATTTCATTCTCGACTTAAGGCTATTTCCGAACAATAGTGTATTGTTTTATTAGGAGTAAAAATTATACTTTTTTGACGATGTTGTACCTGTGAAGGACCATGAGGCAAAAAAAGTACATTTTTACTCCGAATAGAACATACAATTTTTTTAAACATTGCAAAAAATAATTTTTTAATAATTTTTTTTTTATTTTTTTTTAAAAATCATGATTTTTTCCAACCCTGATTTAAAGGGACTTGTTGAAATGTCGAAAAATGTTGGTAAAGTTTATATTCGTTCAATGTTTAAAAAATAAGGCCGAATTGAGTAGTTAATTATTTAAACCCACTTTTATGAGACAAAACCTTAAATTTGATAAGAGATCGTAAAAAAGGAAATAGGCACTAAAATTTTACAAGTAGGCCATGAAAATCGAGGCGGATCTGGCTGATTCACAAATTCCCCAATAAAATCTTACTTATAATACAGTACACATGTGCATGTGAACTCCTAAACTTAATGCTTCTTTTTGAGGAACAAAATGATTTAAATTTTATAATTTTTCATTAATTCAATTTATTCTAAAAACGGTGCATCATAGATTTGAAAGTTATGCACAGAAACATAGTCTAATTTCTTGTTTGGTCTTAAGGCTTTAGCTTTATTCAGAATCTAAAAATTAGTGGAAAAAAATTAACAATCTTAAAAATAAACAAAATATATTATTTTTATTTAATTTTCGGGGGCTGTAACTTCTTCAGGAAGCATTTTAGGGTATAATACAATATGTTCATAGGAACTTCTTGTGTTATTTTTATCTGTAGAATCGCTCACCTGTTTTATATCAAAACTTCCAATTGCTATACATACAGGGTGGCGCCTCCCATACGCCGCGGAGGCTCCTAGGAGTACGACAGTTTGTATTGAAATGAAATTTTGTGAGCATATGTAGGTTAATTCAGGGCACTTTTTAAAAATATAGAGAGTTCTACAGGGTGTCCCCCAAAAAAATTACATATCACACTGTAACTTCTTCAGGAAGCATTTTAGGGCATAATACAATATGTTCATAGGAACTTTTTGTGTTATTTTTATCTGTAGAATCGCTCACCTTTTTTATATCAAAACTTCCAATTGCTATATATACAGGGTGGCGCCTCTCATACGCCGCGGAGGCTCCTAGGAGTACGACAGTTTGTATTGAAATGAAATTTTGTGAGCATATGTAGGTTAATTCAGGGCACTTTTTAAAAATATAGAGAGTTCTACAGGGTGTCCCCCAAAAAAATTACATATCACACTGTAACTTCTTCAGGAAAAAATTACATATCACACTGTAACTTCTTCAGGAAGCATTTTAGGGCATAATACAATATGTTCATAGGAACTTTTTGTGTTATTTTTATCTGTAGAATCGCTCACCTTTTTTATATCAAAACTTCCAATTGCTATACATACAGGGTGGCGCCTCTCATACGCCGCGGAGGCTCCTAGGAGTACGACAGTTTGTATTGAAATGAAATTTTGTGAGCATAGGTAGGTTAATTCAGGGAACTTTTTAAAAATAGAGAGAGTTCTACAGGGTGTCCCCCCAAAAAAATTACATATCACAGTTGTGTTTTCTGTAATGGAACACCCTATATATTAATTGATTTTCGGATTCTAGAAGAAAAATAAAGGTGAGTTTTATAAGAGAAGTATATGACTAAAATGTAAGTTATTTTGTTTAACATTTTCTAGAAATAAAGAAAAAAACATTAAATTTCAATAAAAGCTACCTAAATTGGAATTTACCGGGTATAGCCTAATATGTAGTTAGATTAACTATTGTACTTTAAATCAAATTAAAACTTGATCCAAAAAGTTATACAGGGTGAGATAAAATTAATATTGAATATTGGTCACCTTTAAAAGCACGTTACTCCTTTATTTTAAATGGAACATTCAGTATATTATTCCGATATTCAATGGAGAGTTCATGTCTCTTCAAAATACTATTAAGATTTCCTACCCCTCAAACAAAAATTTTCCTAGATATTTTCATTTAAATGATTTGGTCTGGGTAGATCTTTATTATTTGATAAAATCTAGATTCTATTCGTTGGTGAATGCAGTGTGCCTTCACCAATTAACAGAATACCTAAATGCTTCTGATTTTATCTAATCTTGTTTTTTTTGTGGGGATATGATAAAGTCAATGTTTACCAAACTCAATCAACTATTGTCGACAACATGAGAAAAATTATTGTAGCTGCTTTTCGAGGTAAAACTCCACATATGCCTTTTAAAGTGAAAATATCCTTTTGAAAAGACAACCTGACCCCCTTAGATGTTTTCAAATAATAAAGATCTAGTAACGCAAAATCATAAAAATTAAAATATCTAGGAAAATCTTTGTCTGAGGGGTAGGCAACCTTAATAATATTTTGACGATATATAAATTCCCCATTGAATACCGGAAAAACTCTCCATTTTCACAAAATGTGAAATATGTCAGAATCCATAGATTTTAGGTATATGCTTCTTTAATAAAACTCACCTTTATGTTTTTCCTAGAATCCGAAAATTAATTATTACATAGGGTGCTCCATTAGAAAAAAACACAACTTTGATGTCTAACTTTTTCTAGGGATACCCTGTATAATTCTATATAATTTTATAAAATGCTTTCAATTAACCTACATATGCTGGCAAAATTTCATTTCGATATAAACTACGTTCTCAGGCGCCACCCTGTATATTATGCTGAATATGTTCTGTCTTATTAGTAGCGATGGGAACTATCGAATGAATTAGACTATCGAATGGTTAATGAATGAATGATTTCGACTATCGAATGGTTTTATTCGAATAAAATCATTCATTCATTTGTATACTAAAGCATATGTGACAACCTCGCCGTGCGACTAAATGGTTATCGTTGAGCCACGACTATCGAATGCTTTTGATAAATGAAATTTAGTATTTGTTTGATTTTTGTATGCGTCAGTGCATTATTAGTTCTTCCAAATTTTTATAACTTCGCCGTATAAATATGGTGCTATTTTTGCGTTTATTAAAATAGTTAAAATACTAAAATAGTAGTTATTTTTTAATTTTATTTATTGACGATTGTGTGCATGTGCAGGTGGTCAAAATTTTTCCGAAAATTTGTGTAGTTTTCCGTAGTCCGATCTTTCAATTATTTAATTTTATATGGTATATGGTCTATTTTTTAATGGGAAATTTTGAGAAGTAGCAATTTTTAAGAGAGATGAGATGAACTTACAATTAATTTTAAAAATACATATTTGTATTTTAGATGTTTGAATAATATGAATTAGTTGAACTTAACAATCATATTTAAGTAATGTGGTTGTATAATCATATTTAAGTAAATGGTTATCGAACTCAAACTATGGGGTGAGAAAATTAAAATGAAAGTTTTACACGTGCCAATTTAAAAAAAAAGTTAACGATGTTTATATTTTGTTTATGCTAATTCTTTTACATGTAGTTTTTTGCGAAGAAAATATATTTCATTTATTTTTTAAAGTAAATGCCAGTAAAAGTAAATATAATTTTTAAATAGTAATATAAAGCACCTAATATAAATAATTTTGATTTCTAATTTTTTATTTATATTTTCCTTCCATTACCCTGCATGCTTAGAAAATTAATAAATGTTTATATTTCATGATTTTAAAATGTGTTGTTAATATAACAAATTAGTTCTGTAATTATTATTATTTAATAAACCAACGTTGCCAAAAAATTTAGAGACTATATTATTTTTAAATAGGATCTAATATAAATAATTTTAACCTCTAATTTGTTGTTTATATTTTGCTACTACTTAAAAGAAAATATTTATATTAAATGATTTTAAATTTTGTTGTTAATAGGTATAATAAATTATTACTGTTATTATTATTTATTAAACCAGTCTTTGCTAAAAAACATTAAAAATAATTTTACTACATCCAAAATAACAAGTATTATTGCAGTGTAACAACAGAATATTAATAAAAAAATGCAGAATATATAGTATCTCTATATATTCCCTAATTAACTAAAGCCAAACAATAATATTCTTTGCTAATATCAACTAATACCAAAATATGGCAACAGCGCCTTTCATAATGTATTTTCTGTGTAAATACTAGCACCTCAATAAAAAAATAATGTGTCCTTATCTATATCTGACTCCGCAAAAATCAAAGATGCCGGCTTTTTCATAGCATTGCCACCGACCGCTGTCGGGTTTCTCGAAAGAAACCTACGTCGCCGGGCGACAACTAAAATTCAGTTAATATTTTATTATAATCGATCCTGACGAATGAATGAATTTCATAAATGAATGAATTTTATAAATGAATGGTTTTTGCTGCCGAATTACTAGAATACAATATTTCAAGGCAGATGACGGATCTATTCGATAATTTTTATTCGAATAGTTTTCAACGAATGTTTTCTTACTAACTATCGAATTATTCGAATGAATTGCAACTATCGAATGTTTCGATAGTATTCATTCGATAGTTCCCACTACTACTTATTAGTACAGACAAAGAAATAATAATGTTTTGTTATGATTTTTTTGCAGTTCATCTTGGAAAAACCTGACATCTCTGGATCTCAGCTACAACTATCTGGACAATACTCCATTTCCGGCGTTGAAAGAAGTAAAACAATTACAGTGGCTCAATTTACACAAGTACGTATTATATTATACAGGGTGAGTCTTAAATAAGTGAAAATATTTTTAGGGGTAGTATAATTCGACCCCAGAAACGCTTTTTTGAAAATTTGGAATTTCTAGTTAAAAATATAATATCTTAATAATATGGCAACATAGTAGATTAAATTTACAAGAAAGAATACCCAGAAAAGATCCAGCGGTTCTAAAAATTTAAGCAAAAAGTGATTTTTCTTTTAATTTTCAAAATAAAATAATTCAGTTATTTTGGACTTATTTGAAAAACGGTAAAAGGAAAATATGTTTATTTTCGAGATCTACCAGCTCTAAAAATATTTGCACTTATTTAAGACTTTTATGGTTAAGAATTTATTCATTACCATGTAAAAAATAAAAATCGGTCATTAAAAAGACCCCCTTATGCTATGTTGATACTACAGTATGTCCGCGGATTGTCTTTACAAGCGGAAAAACTTTTTTATTATTGACATTTTGAGAAAAATGCATTCTTCATAAAAAATTTTGCTTGTTCTAAAATGGTTAATCCCGTTTATACTTATCCAAATTTCCATACGATTTTAGAGAAAATTAAAAGAAACATGAAATGTAATTGAATTTTTTCCTAAAGATCAAAACGCGTTTCTATGGTATTATAATTTCGATTTCATTCTTTGATAGATTGTTATTGATAGAAGCTCAAAATTTATTTAATTCAATGCTATGGAAAGGGCGATAATAGTTATAGGAAAATCTGGTACTTTAAAAACAGCAGAAAATATGACGTTAATCACAATTAATAATAACAATCTATAAAAGAATGAAACTGAAGAAAAAATCAACAATATTTTCGTGTTTTTTTAATTTTCTCTAAAACGGTATGGAAAAAAAGTACAAACGGGATTAACCATTTTAGAGGAAGCAAACATTTTTATGAAAAATGCATTTTTTCCAAATGTCAATAATAAAAAAGTTTTTTCTCTTGTAAAGGCAATTCGGGGACATACTGTTTAATAAAAAAATTGAAATAAAAATGAAACTTACAGAGACATAAGTTTATACGAACTTTTTTACTTATTTTTGTCTGCAGAATATACCGCCGAAGTTACCCGAATACAATTTGGATCAGCCTGTATATTAACATTAGCGTAATTGCTTTAGAATAATAATAATACAAATTTGGATCGTTTAAATGTGCATCCAGGCTTAAGAGTATTATGCATTTTAAATCAACGTATATGGCCGTTTCAATATTCATTTCCAATAATAGAAATCCTACATCGGGATTAGAAAAGCGTGCAATGCATTAGCTAATTAGCTATGTAACGAACTACAAATCAATACTAATTGTTTTGCTATAAAAACATAAAATAATAATAGAATAGACACTCAGATGCAAAAAAAACACAAGGAAAAAATTTTTGGTTAAGTTTAAAATATTATATTTTTAGCCCTATTTCCTTGATTTTTTTACCAAACTGTATATAAATATATCAACTTTAATTCGTACTGTTTGACCAGCGGATCTGAAGCTACGGAAGGAATGCGAGAAAAAAAAATCGACATTGCCACGTTTATCTATAAAATTGCAAAATTGCCAGAAATGAACTATAAATTTAATATATTTTTATTATATATAATGTGTTTAGCATATATTCTGACGTATATTACTAAGGAATTTTAACGTAGTTCATATTGTTCGATATGTTTTATTTAACAACTTATTTCTTTCATTCTGTATAATCTGCTTATTATGAAAGTTGAAGATTTTTCAACGATATCATTGGCAAACCGGCATCGCCGCGCATGGCCGCCTATTCATCGAACATGATTGGCGAGAGTACGTCACAGGATTTGTTACCACGCGGTTGCCATGGCTTTTACGCCTTTCCTATTCGCTTGCTTTATCCCCAACTTCAGGGTCTCTTCTGAAAAGAGTAGGAATATTGAATACTATTGAAATACCCAGTGGCGGTGTCATTTTTTTGATCATTATTACTTTATTTCATTATTTTATACCGGTTATCCTAAACTTTATTCCTATATTGTTCGTATATTTGATAGTTAAGTTGTGTTTTATTGTTTTGTTATCTTGTTATAATGTTTTTCGTTCGTAGTTTTTAATTATTAATATCAAGCTTGATCGTATATTTGTATTTTAAAATGAATAAATTTGTTAAGAGTAAGACGCTACATCAAGAGACGTCAGACAAGAGAAATAATAGCTAATTTATATAGGTAAGTTAATAATAACGTGGATGAAATCTCATTTGGTTTATTTCCTTGTGTTCATAATAAGGTTTGCGATGAAGAAACTACAGAGAGTTCGCTTAAGTTGCCGCTTAAACGTAAACTTGAGCGGATATTTTTTTATACCGGAGTTAGCGTATCGGCTATAAAAAATCACACAGAAGATAAATAAAAAGGCTGAAAACTAACCCCGATAAAATGATATCCAGCTCTGGAAAGAAACGACCACGTGAGACTGATGTCGAAAAGCTCGACGACTTTTTCGAAGTGGTCAGGAATTTGATAAATAGATTTTATCTCGAATTCAAACTCGTCCCCGCAATTAGAAAGCTTTTGCAAAAATTGCAGGAAAATCGAATTTTCCTCTTGCAGGGAAACGCTTAGGGGGTTATTAAAATCAAATTAATTTTGTTGGCGTAAATGTCAAAATAACGGATAAATATTAATGGAGCGGCCCATTATATTGCAGAGAGAGATATAAATATATACGCGAAATTCGAAAATATAGCCAAGTATTATCTATTTGGATGAAACATATGGGTAGACAATGACCTAACCTTTAAAAACTGCTGGGGGAGCGATACCATATTTGGTGTAATAGGCAATATTGGATCTACTGGGTGAATAAAATTATGTTTTGTTTGCGTTTCCAAAGTTAACTATTTTCAAGATTTTTTTTGCTGGAAATAGTTATATCTAAAATTATGTATTATAGAAAAAAATATAGTTAGTATAGATATATAAATAAATATACCTCAAGACTCAGTCTTGATCATCTACTGATGGCAGACATGGTTAGCGAAACGTGCGTCCAGTGTAAAATTAAAAGTGTTTTGGTGTATTGTACTGATTTAGTGTTTTATTTTGCTGTGTAACACCAAAGGTTCCAACCCCCAGCTGTAATTATTTCTTCTATTATATTAACAACACAATAATAAGATGATTCAAAATATTTAAGGGAGCTTTATTAAAAGCTTTTAGTGTTTATCTGCTAACTCAACAGTAACGATTCAAACAGCATGAAGTTTTTTGAAAAAAAATATTAATCTGAGTATTATATTTATGATACACATTATTTTCATATAACACCGTACGCCCCTGCCTATTTTATGAATGAAATTGGGCGTGTTTTGTTTACAACTGCGTTCCCCTAGCCCCGTAGCTATAGATCCGTTGGTCACACTATAAACTTAGCTTATTATAAACTTTAGTATTTCAGTTATTATACAGGGTTAATTAAAGAGTGGTTTTTACCCTATGTTAAAAACACCCTGTGCAATAATTTCATGAGCAAATTTTCCTAAAACAATATTTTTCAATCAGAACCATATCTCTTGAATATTTTGTTTTTTGTCTCATGTCAATACGTGCCTTGGTTAATTTTTAGGAGCAAAATAAACTTGTCATAAACATTTTTCAATTTTTTCAATTATCGTTACTTTTTGATGTTGTTCTTCATAACGACGAAATGGTTTTGGTGATTAATGTTTTGTACAATTGAATATGGTTCTTAGTGTCGAAGATTTTGCAAAAGTTATTAATCTTGTTGAAGATGGCCGATTATGAATATTTGCTTGGTCCTTGAAGAAGAAGCCTTATTAACATTATGAACCGATGTCTGCAGACTGTTAGTTATTACAGTTTTTTTAATAGTTCTTTTAGTATTACCATATTAAAACCAAGCCTGTATCGTTATATTTTTAGTTTTTTTTTTAATTTTAATATAGAATTCTAATCAGTGCTGATTTAATAAAAAAATAATATCATGAAGTAATGAAAAAAAAAATTGCAAATTGTTGGTGGCAAGGTCATTTCGCTCTTAAAATTTAACCGAGGCATGTGTTAACATGAGTCAAAAAACAAAATGCTCAGGGGACATGGTTTTAACAGAAAAATAATGTTTTAGAAAAAATTACTCACAATATTACTGCAGAGTGTGTTTAAAAGTTAGCTTAAAAAACAACTCTTCAATTAACCCTGTATAATAAGCAAAATACCAAAGTTTATAAAAAATTGAGCTTCTGAATTAAAGTTGATAGATTTATACAAGGTTGTTCACCACATACGACACGGAGTATTGTAGCTAAACGATTATATTTTTACAAATTGAAAGTTTTGGGTTCGATGAAGGACCATTAGAGGTACAATTTAAAAATAATTTTACAAGATACAGAGTGTCCCAAATAAGTAAAAAATATCAAAGTTGTATTTTTTTAAATGGAACACCCTGTATATTATTACATTTTTAGTTTCTACGATTAAAATAAAGGTCAATTTGATTAAGGTTTATTATACCTAAACCTTACCGTTTTTGAAATATTTTCAATTTTGTGAAATTGCAGTAAAAATTTTAAGGTTTCATTTCTCCAAGGGTATCAAAGTTTTTAATACTAAATATTTACTGAAGTTTATTTATTGATCAGTTATTGTGTTGCAATACTAAAAATAATACTACCTTATACAGAGTGTCTAAAAATTTATTTTAAATAATTTCTAGCTTTAAACGCCAATAACTTCTTTAATTTAAATGGAACGTCCTGTATATTTTAGGAGAATCAGATTCACAATTTAATTGTCTATCAAATTGTATTATACCATTTTTTACCTATCCCTTCAAGTTTTCGTAGAAAATGCATTTTCTTATAATTTAGATCTCATTTATCAATATACCCATGGAATATTGACATTTTAGATTGTTTTTAAAGCAACAAATGTACAAAATGTACAGGCTACTAATATTATCGTTTTTAGAAAAACGATAATATTATTAG